TCCCACGTGGTGATCTCAGCAGTGCTTTTAAAATGTCAGTGAGCTTAGTTCAGGTGCTTATTTGGCATGTAGACTTTTAGATTATGGCTGGTAGGTTAGGGTACCAAACGCTGTGTTAATAAGGGTACTGACCAAATTAGATTGGTACAATCAAGTTCATATTCACACTAAACCAATTGGTGCCAAATTTCGGTACTGCATCAGGATGAGAGAGCAAGTTGCTTGCAGGGAGGCACTATCCTGCAGAGATGAGACAGTCTCGCTCTCTTTCTTTTGTACAGTAAGTCAGGGTGATGGCGAGCTGAAAGTGGTTGCAAGTGTGGTTACACTTTTCAAAATATGACACAGACAACACTTGCTCCACACAACAGCGTTCTCATGCTACGCCCTGGTGACACACTGACAGGCTGGATGTTGTAGGGGCAGGTTTGGGTGGGGAGAGGGCAGAGGTGGACTGAGTACACAACTTCACTACTTGAGTAGTAGTACAGATACTCCTTGTCAAATATTACTCCAATACAAGTAAAAGTAGCTTAGTCAAAATATTACTTAAAAGTACTTAAGTATTTTCTTAAAAAATTACTTAAGTAAAAGTACTTAAAAAATCTCAGGAAATACAGGAAAGGAAAGTAGTTTTATTGTTATTGTCACTGTATTTTTCTCACAAAAACCCAAATTTCTTTTTCTAGTAGTTACATTTGAACACATCATGTAGTGTATATACGGCAAAAACTCAAAATCTTACCAAGAATATTTGTTTTATTTTTAGTCAAAATGTATCATTTCTAGTCCAAACAAGTCTCATTACACTTAAAATAAGAGTAGCTAAGTTACATACCTTGACATGCTCTTTCAGGTTGGAAGACGAGTTTTTGTAGGCTGTGTAATAATTTGTTCACGGTAAACACAGCAAACACTTGGAACTGATACGAATCATTCTTTGTGTCAAAAACCTCGAACATGGGCTTGAGATACGGCCACGGATGCTCGGGGCCTGGGGGAGTTTCTCTGTCTGTTTCTTCCTCCATCGCTGCTGAAGCCATCGACACAGCTATCGCATGATGTGGATGTGAACCGCCAAAGTTAAGTTCCATTTTAAGCATGACGTAGTACAGGTATGGCAATACGGCTAAGACAAACCATACGCGAGTCAGCAGAAACAGTTTATTTTCTTTGGTATCAGAATTTAGGGGAGAAAAAACAAAAAAAAGGAAAATTCATCAGCTGAAGTAAGAGCAAAAGTGGCGAGTAATGAGAGCGTCAATAGAAATGTAGTGGAGTAAAAAGTACAATATTTGTCCTTCAAATGTAGAGGAGTAAAAGTATCCCCCAAAAATAATACTCAAAGTACAGATACTCAAAAAATGTACTTAAGTACAGTACTCAAGTAAATTTACTTTGTTAGTGTCCACCACTGGGAGAGGGGGGTAGGAAGAGGTTTCATTTTGTGTGATGTGTATAGTGTCCTAAATAAATGTAGCCGAGGGTTATGAGTTGTGCCTTTACTTGTGAAGGTTATAAAATACACTGTGAGCTGAATGTGACTGGAATGGGATCTCTGTTAGATATAAATGCAATGCGTGAAAACGTTGATTAGAAACAAATTCACCCAGCACGTTGAGCAGTCAACTAACTGCCTCGTCCTGCTAGCGTAAGCAAGCGCTGAAAAAGCTACATGTAGCAGCAGTAACTTGCATATCTTTGCTTGCAGAAAGTGATTTAGAAATAATGTATGTCACCGCATTGCTTTCCTTAACCACAGACAAATCTGCCAGCCCTGCCAAACTGATTGACATATTGAGATCCGACCACAATGAGGCTAGACTCAAGATAACGAGTGCTTATTAAGATGAGGTGTAAATGCAGAAGCCTGAGGATTGGATGCCATTATTCAGATACAGATCACATCTTAATACCTTTGGTTTATTATAGCAAGGTGACCTGATTTGCTTGTCTGGGCTGATGTCAGAGGAAATCATACCACTTAAGAAATTTAACATTAGAATTCAGAGCAATAGAGCAGAGTCACTGTTTCACACAGGTAAGGACATGTTTAATGAGTGTGAGACAAGAGTACAGGAATACAAACTCGTGTTTGAAATATATGCAAGATAAAAAACTGTACCAGTCTGTGGACTGGTACAGTTTTTTATCTTGCATAAAATGGTACAGTCTGCCTGGGAAAAAACATCTGACATCTGTTAGCTTGCATTCCTGTGTTCCCAACATACACACCTCTTCATGCACACTGTGCTGCTATACCTGTGGAACATGTTTAGCTCACCTTTCTTACCTATAAATGTGTTTCAGGGCGAGAGGAATGAGAAGGTCGAGCAGTCGCCGTCAACCTCAGGGAAGGCCTCCATGAAGTCTGTGCTGGACGGCCTGGGAGAGTTATGGGACCAGCAGCAGTACGACACGGAGTACAACCTGGACAGCTTCATGCACTCCCTGCAGTAGCACTGTGTGACCCCCGTGCAGCCTCCAGCCGCTGGCCGAGCAGGACCTGGTCAGAGCCGAGGAGCGCCCTATTGCTGCGATCATCTGCCCCACTCCTACTCCCACCCCCACACCTTCAACAAGAGGAGTCACTGATAGCTAATGGTTACAGTCCCAAAGCAATAACTAAAACACAGCCCCAGAACTAAATCTATATTTTATTGCTTAGGTATGCTGCAGCAATGTTAAAACGTCTTCTGATGTTTCTTTGAACATTGTCAGAATCTCATAATTCCTTGTTGAGAGCAAACCACCCAGGTTTTCAACAAGCCCTCTTCAAAACTGCGAGAGAGAGAGAATATAATGAATATAATGGTATGATGACGACGTACCATCTGCGACAAACATCTCCAGTGTTAGTTTACATAATCTACATTAGTAAACAGCAGCGTCACCACTGTGTACAGTGATGTAGCTGTAGTCTGTCAAGCAGAGTGTGTCATAATTACAGTTATCTTTTATAGTAACAGCACCAGGTGCTACTTTTACAACCCGCAGCCCTCCTCCCATGTTGCATTGCCAGAGTATACAGTGTTAACTGCTTCAGGCACCATTACCCAGTTGAACCTCCCTCCTATCTGCCCCACTGCCACCCTCCCCCTATCACAAGGTCTTAAAAGCACTGCGATTCTCAGCCGCACCCGTCAACACCTCTCTGACTGATGGATACAAACATGTTTTTGTATGACAAAGGGAAACGGGGCGAGAGTGACGAGCTCGCTGGAGGAACCATAGGACGTCATCACAGCGTACTGGCTTTTTGAAGCACACTGCTGAGCTATTTGTGCTGTGAAAACACGACTCCCATCCTCCAGATGGCGCTGGTTTGTTCTCGCCCCCTCGAGTCTGTTCACATGACCTCAGGTGGAAATTCGGTGGTAGAAATGATGTGTCTCATGTCCAGCTCCTCTAAACTGTGGTGTAACAATGACCTGGGAAAGCACTGCATTTGAAGCAGCATTACAGAGACTGAACATGGGGCCAAGCTGAAACTTCCTGAAACTTGTCACCAGTATTTTAAAAAAAATAATAGACTTGTACATATTTCTGTAATTGCTGCTTTTTGTTTATGATCGTGGAATTGTAATAAATTCTACAGACCTTTTGAACTACATACTGTAGCTATCTGTTTTCTTTGCATGTGAACAGTGATGGCCAGTAGATGGTGTGGTTGCACACCCATGTAGAGAAATACTGATAAGACAGGAATGAACCTAAAATATGGTCACAAGTCTTCTTTTGACACAAGAAGCCCCACTGCAAAGAAAGAAAAATCCAAGAAAAGAAGCAGACACAGTTTTTTATTTCACTGAGAACTCTGAGGAGTTATTGTCCACACTGACCTTCACGTTAAGTTTCTGAGTTCATTTTTGGCGTATAAAGTCAAATGGACCTTGTGGTAAGACTACCTTGTCTCCTTCTGTTTTCAAGGCCAAGAATCAAGTTTTAAGCTTAATTTTTAAGCCAACATGGACAAAAAGTCCTCTGAAATACCAAGCACATTGGAAATTTAATGGATGCACAAATAAGCTGAAATGGTTTTAAAATTCATCTACAATAGAATACCTTAGTGTGTAGTCATCATTAAATACTTACTGCCACTAGTACATGCCAGCAAATTTCTGACTTTAAAAAACTAAATGTATGTGTTTCCAATTCTTTAAAATGCTGAGAAAATGAGGGCAGGTTTTACAATTTCAAATGTTATTTTAATTTTAAATAGAAGATTGGTTTGCTTTTCTGATCTCGTCGTTCTTGGATCATGTGACTGATGGCACATAACCTATTGGGTCTGCTTTGATTGTCCTCTGTGGTCCAGATGTTCAAGTTAGAATTTTTCATCTTGAATTTTGGCATCCAATTCAAGAAAATATTTACTTAAAATAATTATTATCATTTTAATAATAATAATTATTAAAATGATAATAATAATTATAATAAATAGATATAGTTAAATAGTTTTTTTTATCATGAGACACCTGGGGTTTTTATCTGAATATGTGAAATCAAATAAAAATGCTAATTTTATCACTTAAAATGACCCGTAAGTTTCAAAGAGAGACTTAAACTCACATAAATTAAGATGGATTTTCAAAGTAAAATATTTCAGTTTAGTCCACTTACTCTATAGGACCCCTCAAGTCCCAAAAGGTGAAATGCTTTATTTTGTGTGCACATCTTTCGGGACTTTAAGGGCCCTGTACTATCCTGACAGCCTGTCTTTATTCAACAAAATTTGTACATGTTCTATGACTGTAATCTCTATCTGCTGATGAAGACTGTGATCTGCTGAAAGGTCCAGAAACTGATCATTATGTATGCTTTGTCTGCCTCACCATCTGAATCAAGAGTGAATCCATTCTGCTGAAAGGACAGATGAAGGTGCAGAGGGCCACAATGCACGTTAGTACTGGTCAGCTCTTCTCTAAGGTCAGGTGCATGACAGGGGATAGAGGTGACAGACAGGGAGAGGATGCCATGCCAAAGACCACAAGGTTTCACAGGGTCATACAACTACGTTTAATAAGATTTGCTTATTAGTACAGAAAAAGGAAAAATTAAGGTGGAAACTACAAACTCTGAAGCAGTAGTAAGCATTAGCAGCATTGAGCTCCATGTTTTCAAATCACAGTTATACTGCAAAAAGTTGAGACCAAGTCAACAATCTCAAAAGCCTCGCCAAGATAGAACCAGTGTTCAAGTCAGGAAATAAAAAAATCTAGAAAACAAAAGCACAGATGCCTTAATAAAAAAAAACAAATGTACATTTCAAAAGTAGTGGGATGTTTGTGAAAAAAAAGCACATTACCATTTTTTTTTTTCATCTATTTTGAGATCACAACATGACGAGACTGACAGTGTTTACCTACCCAGAGAACGCCCATGAAGCAGAAGTGAATATACAGTATACTACCCAAGTCTAGTTACATGAAATACATACGTATATCTATAGAGAGGAATATATAAAATGGTTGCCATCATCCAAATCATGATATTTTTCATTTGCACATACACGTTGTGTTATAGTTCAGGTATAAATTGTTTTGTTACGTGAAAGATAAACTTAAAAAAAAGGCCAGGAGATAGATAAATACTTGGTGGTATGGTGGTGAATAATACAGAGCCCTGGAAGAGAGGAAAGAGTGGGACTAGTTTAAAGACATGAGGGGGTTGGTATTAGCATCAGCTGTATAAACTGGTAGAAAAGGCCAGCCAGAAATAACATTCTCACATGAGCAATGGAGTCTCTTTTTGGATGAAGACCAGAAGGGACATCAAAAACACTTCAGCCATAGTTGAAGACATGTTCGGACATTTTGGGAAATGTGCTTATTCACTGTTTCATTGAGAGTTAGATGAGAATAACAATACCACTCTTGTATCTGTGGAGCAGTGTAAAGCTTGAGGCTGAAGCTGGTGAGCTTAGCTTAGCATAAAGATTGAAAAAGGCTAGCATGTGAAACAGCACATTCGAGTCTTACGATGGAAGGAACTAAATTAGCCTATGGACATCATTAAAAGATTTAAAATAGACTACTTAGGTTTTTAAATTTCAGAGCGTTGGTGGTGAAAGCAAACACATCTGTCCACCCTCTATCAAATTCTGTATTTTCCTCCGAGGCTTTTTCGTATTTTGATTTGGAATCAATAGCTAGCTTAGCTAAGGAAACCCAAAACTAGCCACTACTGTTTAGGTTTAGCAAAATTAAGACGAAAAGGTGCAAGGCCATAGAGGTTAGCGCTCATTTTAGTTGACGAAATGTTAACAGACTACATTTTTTTATTCTGTGTATGAGCTACACACTTTTACAAACGAACAATGTAAATCATTTTAGGCCTTCAACAATGATAAATGAAAATGTTAAAAAATAACTATTATTCATTTCCATGAACCAGTAATTTTTTGTCAAAGCCATCGAAGAGAGGCTAGTAAGCAGCACGTGGCCTACTTTCGGGTTATTCGAACAACTTATTCTCAGAATACTCTTCAGGAAGTCACTGCTCCGAGCCAAGAAATAGTCTGGCCCATAACACTGCAACGTGTTGCTTTTAACCTTTGGTTTTTGATTGAATTAAACAAATGAGATACAAGGCTTTGGTTCTGGTCAGCAAGTTTTGTTAGCGTTGGACAGAGCCATGCTAGCCATTTTCCCGTATCGAGTCTTGATACTAAGCTAACTGGTTTAAGATTGTTTGAGTCTAGCATAGTCTGGAGGAGGTGGAGAAATAGCTAATCCAGCTATGTCCAGAATTTGCCGACTAACACCTCTAAAGCTCACTAATTAACAAGTTACTTGTTCCTTTTGTAATTTGTACACAAGCCAAAGCGTAAAAACTACGAGCTGTAGCTTTATGTTATGATGCTAATGCTATGCTAAGCTAACACGCGAAAAAGCTAATTTCCCAAAATGTTTAACTATTCTTTTAAGGCAGAAGATAAGTAGGGGGGAGTTAAGAGTTTTGAAAAATAAAATAAAGTACAGAGACAAATTAAAAATAGGGGAAGGAAAACACACACACACTTTAGACCATTGCCTCCTATGAGTAATTAAGATTCTACAGTTATACATGTTCTTCCCAAACTTAGTATATTACACAGTGAATCTCCACATTTACATTCATACTTAAATACAATCACACTGGTGCACTCTGCAGGGACCAAACCTACTACATAGAGGAGGATGTGACATGGCTGTTTCTGTAGGAGCTGTTGGATATTACACGTGTGGAAACGTTGCTCTCCACTGCACAAAGTGAGGACGAGTTATTGTAGAGTTAGTGGTAATAGTAGTAGTAGTAGTAGTATTGGAGTAGCAGAAGCAATGTAAATGGTCAGTGGTGTTGTCCACAATTACATCACAACATACCGCGTGTATGCTCCATTCTGCCATTTTATTTTATTGCCCATTCATTTGTTTACATTGCGAATCACTTAAACATCACCAACCACCAATCTGCTGTTTGTGAATAGTTTTTTTTTTCTCTGTAGATCATTTTCACACTAATGTAAGCAACATCAGCGAGTTAACACATAAAGCTTAGCATTTCAAGAATCGAGACACTTTAGTAACAATATTACAAAGTTGTTTTTTTTCAGCTTCAAAAAAATGAAAAAAGGTGAACAAATGAAAAAAATAAACTTTTAAAGAATTAGCATCATAAAATTAATTTATTCCAAGTAAAAATACAAAATAATATTAATGACATTGACCAGATATGAAAGTCTCCCCCAGAAATAACTATTAATGGTTGAGAAATAAGTCTGTAAAAGAAAAAATACGAAATAAAAATGAAAATATGTAAATATGTTTAAATTCTTTTCTTTTTTAGCAAAACTTTCTAAAAATAATGAAAATTTTCTCAGTACAAAGGCTACATTACTACTGGAAGGTACTAGCAGGTAGAGTAGGTAAATACACAGTAGAAAATGATTTTAGTGAATCACAATGCTTGCAATGAAAATAATTCTGCAATAAAGATTTATGCCTCTTTTTCTTGTTTTCTTCTTTTCTACAAACAGTACAAACAGTATTGCACATTACAACAAAGAATCAAGGTTCTTAGCCTTAAAAAATGGGACTAATTCAAGTCTTGCGTGAATAGAAGGCCACCAGTCAATTGATGCACCTTGGGGGCTTTCGATCAAGTTACAGGTGAAAACACGTGTGTCTGTTTTGTGTTAAAAATAACATTCTTGTCTCTCTCTACCTCGTGCCGTACAGCGACTCTCACAAGTCTCTTTTTTATTTTCCTCCCCGACGACGTCAGGCTAACAAATCAGGGTCACGTTGCTTTTTGTACAAAACAAAAGGGAGCACATACTTTTAGGAAACATAAAAAACTTCTCTTAAAAAAATAATGAACAGAAGATCTCTTTCACAACTCTGGTCAGCATAGTAAATGATTGATTATAAATATACAAAAACGTGGGAAATATGTTCAGTTTTCTCTCTGAGCACCTGATAGATTTTTTTTTCCTAAAGAGCTCTTCTCGACCAATTTGACCAGTGGGACGCTCACCCTCACTTCCACTGTAATAAAGTAGACTGTACTCTCACTAACTACATCATTATATTAGTTATAAAGCTCTAGCTCCTTCAGTTGTTGTCTTTTTCAAAAAAATAAATTCTTAAAATAAAAGCAAATAAGCATGATAAAAATAAAAAAATCAACCATCTGTTAAATCATTTCTCTTGAAGAATTAAATTAATATATATTTTTTTCATCTGAATAAACTTACTTAGAAAATATCAGTTTCTCTCCTAATATATTTCAAAATTGAGGTATTGCAAAAGATCTTGTCAGTCAGAAAGCACGCTTTATCGTTGCTTTTTGTTTTGTTTTTTTGTCTTTTAACAAAAAGAACTGCTGACCGTCGAAAAAACTGTTCAGATACAAAGAGTAGTGCATAACAAATATCTATCATAGAGAAGGAACAAACATAGAAAACCTGTCTGGGTGGGGAAAGAAATGTCACAAAAACACCCAGAATTCACTTTCATAGGGATACTTATTATTACTCATGGTTAGCCTCGTCTTTTTTAAGTCTTTTTTTTTCTATCAGTAAAAAAAGTATCTTCTGCTTAGTTTCAATTAGTTTTTCTTGGACAACAAAAACATCTATCCTAAAGCAAATTAAAAAAAACCAAACAGTTTGCGACTAAAACAAGAAAGAGGAAAGGGACTGCAGGGCGCCAGCACGGGACAATCACAAGTCACGGACAAAAAAAAAAAGAGGGGAGGGACGACACACATTAACTTGCAATGATGTAGGATCCCGTTCGGATTGTCCACAAAACTGCTAAAACCAGTGTAACTTGGCCCCAGCACCCCTGCCCCCAAACCAGAGCCGCCCTGTTTTCAGCAGCCAATACTTAAGTTTCTATGCACCCCCACCCCGCCCACCCAATCCTGTTTGAACTGCGCACCATAACCTTTTGATAAAAACTAAAAGATATATGTCCACCTTTTTTTTTTTTTAGCAGGTCCATTACTTCAAGCTTTGCAGGAAAAAAAATCTGGATAAATATGGTAACCCCAGCTTGCACATCTGCATGTTCTGGCAATGTCATTCCCCCGTTCCCACCCGCCCCAGCCCAGCCATGTAGTGAGAGCATGTGCAGAGCTCAGTTTATCAACCTCAAGTCTCCAGTAGCTTCAATGTTTCGTTTTATCCCCACGACATCCCGATTCTTCTTCCCAACTGCCCTCTTTTTTTCCTCATCTAATCGACTGCACCTTCAGCCCCTCTGCAGGAGGCCCGCACGAGCTGCAGGCGGCTGTTCGCTACGCGTGTTAGGGTGGTCTGTTAAAAGTCGAACACGCGAGCTCTTTGGTTGCATTCCGAGACGTAAACGTGCGCTTTTGTCAACGGTGGAACAAATCAAAGAAAAAAAGACCTCAGTTCTCAGTTTAAGCTCACATTGTTGCGTCTTCTCTTCAGATCAGACTCTGTGTTTGTAGGCCTGTTTGTGTGCGTAAGAAAGACAGCCGTCCGTGTGTGTTCATGTGTGTGTCTGTGTGTCGAGAGGCTTCTGTGTATACTGGTGCAAGTGTGTGTACAAGAGAACATTTATACGTGTGCATACACTAGTTATGAAGTTTCACAGGACTTCTATGTCGGACATTAACGACAGTTAAAGCGAATCACAGTTCTAGGCATACTCAGACCTAACTACATACGGTATAAAAAATTGCACAATTATATCAACAATCACTGCAAAAAAGTACTTCACCTATCATAGACAGTTTTAAATGGTAATCCTACATTTAATTTGATTTGTGATTATTAAGGTTGTTTTTTTTTCTCTCCCCTGTTGCCTGGATGTGTTCGCTGCCTGTTTGTGCAGGAAGCGTCAGCTCTGGCCGCCCCGTGGCGTTGCCCGTCAGCCCGCCCAGCGACAGGAGCCGCCATGATTCCTCTGACCAGTCCTCCCTGTTTCTGTCCAGTTTCGTGCGAGTTGAACGTACGTCTATAGTGTGTTGTGCAAACATGGGCAGAATCGAATAGTAGACATGATACTGAAAAGTCTATTGCATGCAGCAACCTGATTGAAATAAACATGCAGTTAGGGGCGACCCACCCCGACCCCCACAAAAGGTAGCCATCGTTGTCTAGGGGCGCCCCCTCCCCCTATGATAGCTCGTCGTTTTACAACACCAGGTGCTTCTTGTGATCTGTTATTTATTATTTTACACCATAGCCTGAATAAAGTACTTATGGTATCTGTTTATACCATGGATTTAGCAGCAAAGCTATTGCAGCATTACATTTACATAACACTAAAAAATAATGTTATTATAAAAATAAAGACCTAGAAATCAAAAGCAAACTAATCTGATTGCGCATATGAGGTATTAATATTTTCAGAGTCAAAATTGAGAGCGAATATAGCCGTGTTATTTTTACTCTGGGCGATACGGGCCCACACTACTGGATAGCTGTTAAGTCTTGCTACATCTTATGCCACCTATTTCTGTATGCATTAATTTCATTTGCCTTTGGTAATTCTTTTTTAGTAGGGGCAATATATAACTACAGCTCTTGAAAATAAGTGCATGCTCCTTTTACATAAAATTTAAATTATCTATATATGTATAGATAGTTACAAAACAAAAAATATATACTTTTTAAATATTTGTATGGTCCCACCTCTGTCTCAGTAAGGAGGGGTCCAATAGGACGTACCACACCGCCCAGTCAACAGAACGGGGAACTGAAAGTAGCCTGGTGTCTAACATACCATCCTGTGTGTGTGTGTGTGTGTGTGTGTGTGTGTGTGTGTGTGTGTGTGAGTGTGTGTGTATGTGTATGTGTGTGTGTTTAGCGAGATTTTGTGCCAAAGTGCAAATTCTAAGCTGAAAGACTTTCGCATTTCGTTTCCCCACAATGCTTCATCAGAGGGGAACCATAGACAATGAGTTCAGAGCCATGTGGCATGAAGAAAGTCCCATGTATTTGACGGTATCCTTTTTGCTTTTTTCATGAGGTGTTTGTGGGGAGCAGGGTGGAGTAGGTGAGGCTGTGTGTAGGGGGGGTTGCAGCGCTGTCCCGGCCTGTAGGGTAGGAGGGGCGCAGGAGGTTTTTTTTTAGGGGTAGGGTGTGTGTTCACCGGGGCAGGGCTGACTCGTGTACCCCCCTCAGCTCCAGCGGAAGGACACATGTCGAGGGCGGTCGCCCCCCTCCTTCACTAGTGGCTTGTGAAACTCTCGGCCGGCCCGTGAGTGGATGCTGGCCCAGCAGTACTCGCAGTAGTACTGCAGGCAGGTGACGTTGGCACAGAAGAAGGGGGCGAACTTCCCCCCGCAGCGTGCCCCCTGGCACTCATCACACATCTGGTCGTCCAGGACATAAGGCTTCACCTCCACCTGGGAAGAAGCCGAAAGAGATGTGGGGTTAGTCTATTCTCATCCACAGATTGAAACATGTTCATTTAGTAGTCGTCTTTTTTGACAAATTTGATCTCCCATTAGGGTTGTCAGTTTCTGTGAATTTCACTTTCAATAGACAGACACCCAGGGGCGGAAATCCCGGGGGGGACAGTGGGGGCCTGACTCCCCTTTCAGTAAAGCTGTATCCCCCTAGAATCATTTGAGACACAATTAATCATTTTTGAACAATGCATCCTGCATTGTTCAAAAGCCTACTCAATTACAAGTGCTGCTGAGCTAAAAGCTAATGATTAAGCTCAGAGTTTAGTGATAGTCAGAGAGGACAGGAGAGAAAGAAGAGGGAGAGGACAGGACAAGAGCAGTCAGTGGCGGAGCAATGGGTACCTGTCTGTAGGCTCTCCACCTGTCAGTGAGACAAACATGAATGATGTGCAGTCTAACTGACAAGGAGGGGTCATTACGCGCGACTATTACACACGGTTGTGGCGGAGCGGCTTGTATGGGTACCTGTCTGTAGACTCTCCTCCTGTCAGTGAGACAAACATCAGAGACGTGCAGACGAGGAGCGGTCATTACGCGCGACTATTATGCACGGTTGTGAGGTGCGCAGTGGCAGATCTCACAGCACACTGTTTATAAACCAGTTTACCAGTTTAATTGCAGGAAATGTTTAGTTTCAGTTTTAGTTTAGTTAGTATAGACATTCACTCACTGTTGGAGAGATAGAGAGAAGATTAAAGCGTCAAATTGCGGTAAAAGATGCTGTATAAAAGACAGGCTACAACTTTTTTTTCCTCAGTGAGTAACTAACTGGTTAATCTTTAAGATACAAAATGCAAAATGACCTGAAATACAAGAGGCCTTTCCTTTCAGTCTGAGCACAGTTGACTCAGGGAGCTTTAGTGCAGCATTTCAAAGTGCTATCCATATAGAGGCGGTGACGTTTTATTGTTTTGTGAGGTAAATGTCTTGCTTTATATTTCATTTTGTGTTGTCTTTGCCTAGCCAGCTAGCCGTGTTAACAAGTAGAAACACAGTGCCCACTGCCTGCTGTCTGGTCTCCACTGGTTGGCTAAGGTTAGCTTTGGCTGCTTTGCAATGCTAGGGGCTAGGTAGTGGTGCCGCTCATTCAGCCATTACCGCTGACTATGCTGTCTCAGACATGGTAGCCAAACTTTGGTCTCCCGCCATGTAACCCCATTAAGTAAATGGCTTCATTTCGAGTTGCAAAACCCCTTTAGCCATGTTAACTATGTTCGCACCACTAGCTGTGCGGACACTGCTAAAATTTAGCAGCTAACTGTGCTGACAGAGCTAACAGTGATACCATATTTAACAAAGCTAAAAGGGTACTCACCCACTAGTGGTAATTGTGGAATAGCTAGCTACCACCAGACCTGGTTGGTACATAGTACAGTAAACTGAAAAATAGCAAAATGAACCTATTGACTGACACACGCAAGCAGTTAAAAATATTCTCAGTATCTCTGAGTATCCTGACAAGCGCTATATAAATCCAATGCATTATTATTATTATTATTATTATTATTATTAACTGATTAACAGGTAACCACTGACATCCACAATCCTCATTTGCTTACTGTTACAGGAAAATTACACTTTAAAAGAAGTGGATTGTTTAACTGGTATTTCCCTTGTACCTGACTAACACTATAAAACCAACACAAACTGCTGAAACAACAGCTAAGTTGATCCAGGTGTGTTAGCTCACTAAGCCATTACCCACCAACCTCATTCGAGGCAATCTTCTAAAATAAAACCAGGCTACACTAAGGCAGGTATCCTTCCGTCCTCCAGTGAAATGAGTTTGACCACTAAGCCCGGAGACAAGAAATGAGAGCTCAGTCTCCATGGAGATGCCTCGGTGCATGAGAAGGCAGGGGTGGATGCTAACCTTGTTATAGCGTGGCCACAAAATGAAAGGTTATTAAATCCTTCAACAGTTGGAGACCGTCCCTCTCAGCTAAACTCTGCAACAACTACAGTGCAACCTGTGAGGAACAACCTCACACAAGACAAATAAGAAGAAGGAGGCCAGGCAGAAAGGACAATGCTGCCATGCTATTAAATACCAATATCAGCTCAGTGGACATGAAGCTGACCAGGGGTAATGAGCTTCTATGTCCTATCATCAAGAGCCATTTACAGTTAATGGAACTGTGGATGCGGAGAGAAGAGAAAACTAGAAAGAAAAAAACCCAAAACTTTAAACTCAAAATAGCAGAAATTCTCAAAGATGTGCTCCCTTCCGCCTTTCTGCAACGGGGCTGTCAGGATATTTATGTTATCGACTAATCATATATAACATATATACATGGACATGACCTCACCAACATTTTAGTCATCATAATGCCAGAATAAACAGCAGTTTTCCCAGCAACTATATGACTTGAGCACAGTATTCTCCCTGTTTCTGTCCTCTCCACCATCTACTTGTGAGTCTGAAATAAAACAACACCTCAAAGACGACACAGTGTAGATAACCATTAGCCTGTAGCTGCACTTTAGAGAGGAAAAGGCACAGTCCTGATAGTCATTAGCTTGCCAACCCCTAGCAACAAGCCAAAAAGTCAGTCCTGTATAGTTTTGCACTGCAACAACTTCATCCTCCACTCCGTAAATCCACCAGGCTGTCCATCCCTGAGAGCCAACTGCAGCACACCGGCCAGATTATGGTGGTAACTGCGGTGTCTGCGAGTTGCAAGAAGCTGCTTTCTTGTGTTCAGTAACAGGTGGAAATTACATTTTCAAAAATATGTTCATATGTCCGATCCAATTTAAAAATTCATTGCTCTTTGAAGGGTGTACTTGCATTATTATGCTATTATATTGCCATTATATCAGTGCCAATGATCTTAAACTGACAATAATATAGTTTATCACCATTATTTCTGGGACAATGTATCGTTCAACAAAAGCAGTTATTGTGAGAGACCTAAATATATATTATTTAATTCTGTGAAAATTCTGTCAACCTAAATCATTTTTGTTGCCAACCACAATGGTGGTGACTGGAAAAACACAAAACAAAACAAAACCCCAACTTCTTACAGCTTAAAGTGGAAAATCTATAGATTTAACATGCTCGTTGTTTTGTTATGTGTTTTTAAAAAGACTTTATTCAGAGCCTTTGTTACTTTCATAAATGTTATTTCCTTTAACTTCTCTTGAACATTATTTGTATTCCGCACAGTTCCAGTCATAATAAAGACACCCTAAACCCCCACTGCAGATCGATGGTGATAACTGAGGTGGGGCAGACTGCCCCGCCCTACAGAGGCTCGGCTTCCTGGCTGACAACCAGTCTCTCTTGGTCACGATCTGTCCAGCTGCAATTGGCCGGCGTGCCTAAAATAACCAGGCTGCAGCACAGCCCGAGTGGATATACATGTATAGGGAGCTACTATAATTAAACCAACCCAATGTGTCTGCAACTTGAAACATCTGTCGGGACTCCAGCAGCCAAAGGCCCTAGTGATTGCACAGCCGGGCCTGGCCTGGCCTTCCGTTATTGTAGGCTGTGCTGAGTCTGAAAAGCCGGCAGTAATGAAAGCTCTGATACATGGGAGAGGGCTGGAGCAGAGTTCAGCTCTGCAGCGTGCCATAGGAATGACTGTGAAAACCTCAGCTGTGGTAGAGGCGCTGCTTTCTTTCAGAGGAAGGATTGTTATGAATGAAGTGCATGAACTCGCTCACCCTTTTGTCGATGTCATTGTGCTGCAGCTGAACGAAACGAGCGCTGATGGCAGCGATGTAGCTCTGCTGATTGGAGAAGGCCACACGGCCGGCTCCTTTCGGGTATTTGAGTTCTGGGTCAGTGTCGATGCCGGCGTAGCAAACACCTCCGTACAGCCGGTCCATGATCATAGCCAGCTCCACTGGAGAGAAGAAGAGAAGAAAGGATGAAGGAGAGGGATGATTAGTGCTGCAGCCAGTCCTTTAAGGAGTGTTTGTGTGCTAAAGACATTTCTTTTGTCTTCAAATTGAAAGCCTTCAGCCTCTCTTAAAAACTAAGTGAAAGCTTTAACTTGGACTTTTGTGATCGACGCTGTTATTAAGTGACGTAAAAAGCTACCCTACTGCACTATTCATCAGGGCAGCAGTCTCAGACTGCTGGTATAATTAGTAGGGGTCACATTGCAGACCAGCCAGTGATGTTCATCCCAAGAACAGAAAGACAGAGCCTTCCATTACACCATGAATTCTTAACATGACTACCACTTGGCCTGCTTCCTGGAAACCTAAGAAGAGAATTGCTTTCTCACAGGGAGAACTTTCATTACAGCCTCCAGCCTCCGCGCTCTTTGCCAGCCGATATTATGAAGCCAATTTAGGGGCTTTTGGGGATCGCAAAAAAAGATATTCCATTCATATTAGTTAGTTACCTGCACGCAGAGGCCGCGGCACCCCTCCTACAAAGATGGTCTTGCGGGGGTCCAGAGGCTGAGAGCCGTCCATGACAAAGTCACTGTCGCTCAGGTTCCAGGGACGGATCTGGACCTGTGTAAGAAAAAATGAAAAGTTTTGTTAATTTAGAAGGCAGTGTGTGACATACTGCCTGTACTTTTTTTTTTGCTAGCAGCATGGCTCTATGGATTACAATGTCTGTCTGATGGTTAGTCCATCTCTTTAGTCCAGACTGAAAATCTCAGCAACTTATGGATGGATTGTCTTCAAATTTTGTATAGACATTCAAGGTCCCCAGAAGATAAATTCTAATTACTTTGGTGATGATCCCTTGAAATTTAATCTAGCACAGCCATTGGGTCACACTTTAAATTTGTCTATTGACATTCCCATCAGCCTCAACTGCACTTTTTTGTTCTAATTAACAAATATTAGCATGCTAGCACGCTAACCTACCATGGTAAACGCTGTCAACATAATACCTGCTACCAAGCAGACTACAGTTCCTCTTATGGCCACAGGAGGCTGGCTCCAAAAGTAAGTCCCAATTCAAACCCACCAACTTTACGTGAGACATACATGTGTTTACAGCCTGGTACAAAAAATGTACAATTTCCCCATTCATGACAACTGTACAGGTGTTAACATTTTATATGACTCACTCACTTACATTTTATTAAGGCTTAAAGTTGTGCATAATCAAGGGCATGGCTGCTTTGAGTGACAGGCTGTCTGTTAGGTGTCACCTCAGCTTAGTCAAGTCACACCATTATCCTTGCTCTTCACCAACTCCACCCTCTTCAAATATGGTCACTTCGGGTCACTTCTGGGTCCAAAAATCCAAGATAGCTACGCCCAAAATGGCAAACTCGGGAGTCCTCAAACCAATGGATGACGTCACAATGGCTACATCCATTATATTTATACAGTCTATGCCTGCTACACATAAAACGGACTGACACTGTAAGCATGCTAGCAGTGTACACATTATATGACTGGATTCTGATTAACTGAATCAAAACTTGTGTGTCCCAAAAAATAACTCTAAATCTACTTTATTTCTATTCAACTGAATGTCACCGCTTACCGGTTTGTCTTTAATGGTGGGACTGGACACACACAGGTAGAGCTTGCCGTCCTCCTCGATGCAAGCGTCGATCAAGGCCTGGACAGAAGTCTCTTCCTGAAAGAGCAGGAAGGCGTAGCCTGGAAAGAAGAGCAAAAGGGGATTTAAGGAAAAACTAAAGATATTCTCTAACAAGAAATTACATCTGTTGCATTTTATAGTCATAGTCTTGTGACCATGGTGATTTTAACTCTGTCCTCTGAGCAACAATTCAGAAACAACTGGGTATTTTCTACAGCATCTACACTGTACAAGTTCCCGTGACTAAGCTCCATCCTTTTTTCCCTGTAATTATTCATAGTTTCAGACAACTTTGTCTCTACACAGGCATATGACCTTGTGGCCTGTTCCTCTGTCCTCATTTGCCTTGCCTGCTTCTTTAAGACACTCTACAGCCGGCAGCTCGCTGCCTGCGCTGCTTCAGATTAAATGGCTAAGAGTGCTCCACTTCTAAAATCGACCAGCCTGACACATGGCAGATTCTCCCTGAGAATGGGTTCAGGTAGAGAGAGTTTGGTGATGTCTTTGCAAGGCAGAAAGCAATTCAGACAGTCACTCTGTACTATTGAATTATTTAGCATTGAGAGCAGGCAGAGACCTTATCCAAGGTCAGAGCTATTAAGGCATTTCAGAAGGGACAAAAATCCCAGCTCAATCGGGTACATCCATCACACAATGCTACAGGGGTGGGCAAGCCATAGGGATCTGATTGATACTGAGACAGGACACAGACACAAGAACCTAGAGCCACTTTATGACAGCCAAATAATAAAAACGCAACACTTGGCCAAAAGAGACAAGGGTGAATATATTAGCAACACTGTGAAAGAGCAGCAGATATTGGTGCAAGTTGACGTCTCTGAATGGGTTGTAAATTATTGCTCTGGTTATGTTAGCAGGAGCCCAACAACACCTGTGGCACCCATGAGTCAGGGGAATATGAGCTGCTGTCTGAGTGGAGCGAGTGGGATTGGTGGATCTGCACAAGTGCACACAATCACACACACGCACCCAGAGATGTCTCCTGGAGTACACTCTGTCTCCAACTTCCAATCACTCCAAAAGCCACCATGTGTTCCAGCATCTCTGGAGAAGCCTGCTTTTATAAAACTGTCTCTCACCATCCCTCTTGCATACACACACCACAACACAAACTCAGACACATGCACTTATGCGGACAAATGCATGAGTGAAAACGGCAAAGAGGAATGTGCAACTGTCATGTTTCACTTTTAACATTCCAGCGTGGAGCTGCTGCAGATGAGATGAGGGGAAAAGGAGAAGAAGAGCCTGACTCGGCAGACCCAGTCAACTGTGGTATGTGCACAGGTCTGAGCCAGAGTGCGTATCAGGGCAGGAAGAGAGGCAGGGTGTGAGCGTGTGCTGCTGCAGAAAGGGTGGGTGGGAGAAAAAAAATGAGCATCAAAGGTGGAATGGAAAAAAGCAGGTGCGTAAGCTGGCGTGCGTCCTCAAAACAGCTGCAACTGTGAAAGCGGCTTTTGTCTATGTGTGATTGTGACTATGTATGTGTGTGAAGTGTGTCCTGCTGACGCATGGGATGTTTGACTTGTCACAGTGACGTCACAGCGATGGCTATTGTATCTTTCTGACATTTGAGCCTAAAACAGTTCTGTAGATCACTAAATCTCTCATGTGTGCACAGATTAGAGGGCAAAAGTGAATAAGAGCCAACTACAATTACAGCCTCGCCGTTGTCTGCCTCTGTCAACCAGTCAAGTTGCAGTTTACATCCACGTCTATCCAGACTCACATGTAGCCATTACAGTAGACAATGCTTAAAATGTGGATGCTGCTGCAAAGAAGCTACAAGCTACAAAGATTTATACAATCAGCACAGTTTTAAAACAAGCACCCAAGATTAGTGTCCCCACTTCAGAATCCACCCAAATGTCTCCTCTTCTGTTTCTGAGTTATTGTGATGAATAATGGACAGTAAACATTATGATGTCACAGTGAATCTGACCTTTGACCTTTTGGATATAAGATGTCATCAAGTCGCCATTTTATTTTATGAGACATTCATGTGAAATGTTGTCATTATTAGTATGTGAATTTAAAGAAATTTAATGACAACATTCCTAAGATGTTACATTCACAACAATGGGATGCATGGACATATGTACATAATGATGGACAACATGAAACAATAATATCTCCAGCCTCAGCTGTCAATATGTGAAGGTATAAAAACAGCATTTCTTAAATATATGTTTTGGGGCTTTTTAGCCTTTAATGGATAGGACAGACAAGCGTGAAAGGGGGGGAGAGAGAGAGAGGGAGTGACATGCAGCAAAGGGCCACAGGCTGGAGTCGAACCCGGGCCGCTGCGGCAACAGCCTTGTACATGGAGCGCCTGCTCTACCACTAAGCCACCGGCACCCCAAAAACAGTATGTCTAATGACCTAACCCAAAACTTAATTGTATTAAAGCAAAAACTTTAAGTCAAATAATACGTGGATGGACAGAAAATAAATAAAAAACTACTTTGGTAACTGGTGATTGTTTCTGTATTTTTTTCCAAGCAAAAATGCCACAAATTAACTGGTTCCAGCTTTTTAAATAGATTTGCAATAGATACTGATTTTATTAGGTGTTAATCCTGCCAAAATAAATAAAAATGGAAAAAAACTACTTTGAAAAAACTATTTACAACCTAAAATAAAAAAATAATCACCACAATTACCTCACTTAATAGCCTGCTAAGTACTTCACAAGCCCTCTGAGGTAAATAAATATGCCAACTGTAGAAATAAAGTGTAACAAAGACAGTAAAAAAAGGAAAGGCAGTGAGTGTGAAGACGTAGGTCTGTCTGTCCTCGAGAGAACTGGAATATGATCACTCAGTGATAGGAACATCATTTATACTTGTGTCCCTTTTGGGTCAAAATCAGATTCTGCTCCATGCTAACACATTAGCATACACACTACTGAATGATTGTTTGCATCTTGTATTATGCAAAGTAACCACAGAGGCTCTTACTAATTAAAAGTTTTTAGCGGTTGTTATCTGGGGCCTTGTAGAGTCAAGTAACAGGCTAATAACCTCGGTGGGGCTATAATGGTTTCTCGAATAACAAGCTGTACCACCGTGGGCAAAACAAAAATATTCACAATGCAAAACTAATTGCAATCAGCTGCTTTAAGTGACCCGCTTAATCTTTGTCTCTGTAATTGGTCGACACAGAGCCGACTCCCCTCTGGACCAGCTGCAGAAAATACACAATTAGACTTGACATAAATAGGATTTTGTGCATCGTCATCTTTCTCCACGCGCCTCGTCATCACCCGACATAAGACCCCTGTTTCTATGTTGTTGGGTTACATAAAGAGGGTTTGTCATTGGGAGAAATCATGTGGTTTAGCACTGACATCCCCCCTCAGAGAAAAAAACAACTGCAGTCTTGCACAAAAAAAGAAAAAACAGCATGAAAAGGCAGAGCTAGCCAGCAGCTCATACAGTCTGAAGGAGGGAACAACGTGTTCCATGACCCAGGGCAGGAGAGAGGGAGAGAGTGAGGGAGGAAGGAGGGGCAGAGGAGTGAGACAGATGGAAAGAGAGTGGGAAAAAAAGTGAGAAAAGGTAGGGAGAGAAGGAGCGAAGCAGCATGAATGAGTGCCATACAAACAGAGAGTTTGAAAATACACGGGAGGATCATGGGGAGTGGGAGGAGCATGGAGACAGATGCAAAGCTGCTGCTTTAATGGAGCTTGTTAGGAAGTTACAAAACTGATGCAAGAGGCCTGGAAAGACAGACAGACACCTTTTCCATGTGTTCAGTTTGACAGTGAAAGCACTGTAAGAGAGGGGTGTTGACTTCTGTGACATCCCTCAAACCTGTCAGGCCAAAACGAAATTTACAAGTGATGACTCCTAACTTCCAGGGAAACTTCACATCTAATAGGAATCAGTGTTATTAGGGTTCAAAACAAACTTTTACAACCTGAAAAGTAGGCCGCTTTAGTGGCATGATCTGTCTTAATATCCTGCACACTTTCAATAGCTGCTCATACAAATAAACCGCATTACAGTTCAATTTTGGACAACTGGAATATTGTTAAAATTTTAACGATAATTGATGTCATCTATCATTCTCTACTTGGTTCTATCAGGACAAACAACAGTATGTCTTCATGATCAATAGCCTGAATGACACAGATACTCAATTTAGACAGTGTGTACATAGTTTACACTTAAGGCCTTGCATTAAAGCAGACTGTAGCAGATACCATAGGGCTCTATGCCACTTTAATGCTTTGGTATTTAGTCTGAATGGTGCTGAGGATCTGTCTCTCTCCATCAGCCTTGCGCACTGCAGAGGCTTACACCACTGGAGGAAAGCGCAGACCTGCAGTGGCTCGTGCCTGAGATTTATAGGGCTTTTGCTGCCGAGCTCCCCGCACTGTCCAGGGAGGAAGGGAATACGTACACCGGCAGCATTTTCCAGCCTCAACAGCGCTGTTTACAGACAAACGATAGGCAGAGTGCCTCGTGGGCTGCGCAGACTAACCAATGAGCTCATGCAGGACAGAGTCTTTCCTGTATTGGAGGCCAGCAGTTTGACTCATACGGAGAGAAACAGTTACCTCAACAGCAACCTGACAACGGTTTGTCAAATTTCCATAAAAACAAAGACAGTGAACTGCAATGACTTAACCAGCAAACTGCCACCTAAAAATAGCATTAGGCTATTAGCTAGGAGTTACTGGCTAGCTGTTTCCAGTCTTTCTGCTTAGCTAACTTGCTGCTGACGGTAGCTTCATATGTACCACACAGACAGACATTTCGGGAAACACACTTATTCGCTTTCTTGGCAAGAGTTAGATTTGACACTTTAATTCTGTATATATGAGGCTGGTTAGCTTAACACAGCATTAAGACTAGAAATGGGGAAACAGCTAGCCTTCCTAAGCCCAAACATTAAGCTAACGAATTAATATGTTACAGCTAGCAAACGGTTTCCCTGTTTCCAGTCTTTGTGCTAAGCAATCTTGCTGCTGACAATAGCTTCATATTTACCATAGAGTGCCCCAGGAATGAGTAAGCATTTTGGCACCCCT